TACTATTATTTCCTTTTGTTGGTTAAATTTTGATTCTTAAAATCTGGTTCTCGTTAGTATTTTCGGTTTTAAATCATCCTTTTTAGGGTGTATCACACATGCAGGTCTTTGATGAATAATCTCTCTTCTTTAAATCCATAAATTTTGCTTAAATAATCGAGAAGGGAGAAAGATAAAAACTTTCGGACTACTAAGAAAATAGAACAGCTCTAAAGCGTACCTTTTCTAAATAGAAGCTTTCGAACAAGCTCTTAAGGACAGCAAAAGCCTTAAGTTTTGCAAGAAGATTGGAACCGGCTGGAAGGTGATGGCGTTATAGAGAAAACAGAAAGCTGGAAATTTGGAGAATGAAGATTTTCCAAAAGAAGGGGGGTATTTATATGAGGCTTTTTGAGAAGAAATGGGCTGGCTCCTAAAGGCCAAGTCCAAGATATTAAATTTATCTTAAATAATAAAACTCCACTAATTTAAATAAACAAAACAATTTGATAAAAGATTTTTAAAGGAAACTCCACTCTTTAAATTAATTGGCAAATAAATATATAAAAAATGGGACTTTGGAAATCTTTACATTTTTAAAGAGGACGGAACTTAAAAATATCAACTTTATTTTATGTGGAACATTTCAAGACTATTTGACATTGCATAAACTAACTTGGTCAGCTACCCGCCGAAACGTGATCTTACAAACTAATCTTGGGAATTAAGCAAGATGATCTCTAATCATCGAAGCTAAATCCTAGAAAGACTTAGTTTTTCAATAAAGATTCTGAAATAAGGTACTAACCTGAAATCCCAAAATGCAGGATTGTCACAGAAGGGGACGAAGAGTTGCCGCCGATGGAGTTGAAGGAAGCGATGGAGGAGAAGGGGGGTTAGGTCTTCATGCGATGAGCCGGGTGGGGGAAAGGGTAGTCAGGTAAAAAAAGTTGTGTTCCACTTAGTTCTAGGGGGTAAAGGAGAACAAGCGTGTCCCATTATTGTACTACCTAGTTCTACTTAGTTCCACATTAAGCCACACCAAACGTAGGACAAATCTGTTCTGTCATGTCCTGTCCCACCCTGTCCAGCGTACCAAACACACCCTAATAGTACCCCTATGCATCTATGTAATCGTTTTTTTATTTTTTGTTGGTTTCTTATTTAAATTTAACTTTATTCATTTATTTTAATTAATTTAAATTATTAATAAACATATA